CTGCCCAAAATGTCAGGTTGAGAAATCTTACCCAAAGAATATAAGAAGGGCAAGATAGACTTTACCATGATTTTTTTTTTTAACCTAGTAAAAATACATGTTCAAAGAGGTCACATATATAATTCCCTTTTAGTTTTTCACCTTAATTTTTTTAGGAATTTATCAGAACATTGACAGAGCTATCAGGAAATGATTTAGTTTGTACACATTAACTATTTGGGTTGTGGAAATAGAGAAATCCAAAGGATGCAGTCCCTGCTGTCAAGGAGCCTGGGAGTCTAAACAAGGGGATTGATTACTTAACACAAAATACAAAATTGTTCAACCTGTGTGCTGCAAGAATTTTTAGAACATGAATTGCTTGACTAGTCAGGTCACCTCATTTCCTTTAGATTGGCAAGTAAAATATGACACCTTCTAACTCAATAGCTGTCCAGTCTGAATGAATAAAAAATTATACCTTTTTTGGTGTGTCACAGAATTTTAGTAATTTATCTGTGCCATGGGATGAAAAAGGTTGAAAATCATTGTTAGAGCATTACTTTCAGTCTTACTAGAGCATTCTGAATATAAAGTTGTCATTGAATGATTGATTGGATGAACTTGGAACTCTATTTCAAAACATGAACTTTCCAGCTTAGCCGGTTGACACAGTTGGTTGGAGCTTTGCCTCCTGTACACCAAAAATAATAAATAGATAAATAAATAAATACATAAATAAATACATAAATAAATAAAATAAAAATTAAAAAAGGTTGCAGGTTCAATTCCAGGCCTGGGTGGGTAAAGGAGGCAGCCTATCAATATTTCTCTTTCATATCAACGTTTCTCTCTCTCTTCCTCGCTCTTTTTCTCTCTAAAGCATGTATCTCAATAACATAGTCTCGTGAGGATTAGAAAATAAAACATGAAATTTCTAGGGGATGTTTTCAGTATTATGTTGTAGTCAGGATCATTGATGGGAAGTGTTGGGTTGTGGTACACTAATTCTGAGTGCTATTGCTAAGTAGGTTTTTACTTTATTCTAAAAAAAAAAATCAAGAGAGAACACATTCCTAGAAATATATAATACTTCTTAATACTTTTTAATACTTTTTAATTTTATCTCATTTCTCCCTACCAATGGTATTCTAGGCTGAACTCTAGCCAACAGTGTCATATAGCGTTCTTCTCCAACCCCTTGCTTTGGCAGCACTAGATGCTAATAAAAAAGTAGAAATAGCCTGATCAGTGTGACTCAGTGGCCATGGCACATGCCCGGGTTGCGGGCTTGATCCCTGGTAGAGGTGTGCAGGAAGCAGGTGATCAATGATTCTATAATTGATGTTTCTATCTCTCCCTCTCCCTTCTGTCTGAAATGAATAAAAATACATAATTTTTTCAAAAGGAGAAATACTTTTGCTATTCTTCCCTCCTTCTCTTGCCCTCCATGCCCCCTCTTCCACTACTTTCTCTTTTTAGTCTTCTTGCTGGTCCTCACCTCTCTACTCCTCCCCATTCCTGTCTTCCCTTTTCTCTGCCCCATCTTTCTTTGTTGTATAGTTTGACCTGGTCTATTGATTGCTCACTTTTTCTAAGTGTGTCACAGAATTTTCTAAGGATTTTTTTAAAAATTATTATTGGTTTGTTGGAGCTCTTTTATTATATTTCCCCACATACTTTATGTTCACTTGTGATATCCTTAATCATGGAGAAATTTAAAAATTTTATATAAGACTCATCAGTCTTATCTGAATTTATAAATATATTTTTACAATAACTCTTTAAGTTCATATTTTTAATCAAGAATTTATATGATATACCATAGCCTTTTCCCCAAATGAATAGCCAATATTCCCAATACAATATTGGATAACCCATCCTTTTCCACTGATTTGAAATATCTTTGCATATACTGAATTTCTATTTATAAATGTATATAACACATTCCTATGTATCCCTGTATGTTTTTCCATATACTCTAGTATTATTGCGATATATAACAAATAAAAATATATTCCTATTAATGGGTCCATTTGTACTTCATTCAGATTCATCAAGCTTCTCTTGTGCTATTACCATGTTAATTTACTTCAGTTTTATAGGAGGTCTTTTTGTTTTTTTGTTAATCCTCACTTGAGGATATTTTTCCATTGATTTTTAGTGAGAGTGGAAGAGAGAGGGAAAGAGAGAGAGAGAGAAACATTGATGTGAGACAAACACATTGATTGGTTGTCTTCTACATGAGTCCTGACCATATGGGTCTTCTACATGAGCCCTGACCATAACATACATAGCACATCCACAAGGTACCATATTGTCCAATAACATACATAGGTTATGTATGGGCCAGGGAGGAGCCTGTAACTAAGGTACATGCTCTTGACTGGAATCGACCCAGGACCGTTTGGTCCACAAGTGATTCTCTTTGAGCCAAACTGGCTAGGGCTATAAGAGGTCTTGATATCTGGTAGTGCCTCTATCATGGTTTTTAATTTAAAATTTTATTGGCCATCCTGTCACATTTACTCTTCCAGATGAACTTCAACATCATCTTGGTTAGTGTTGCCCCCAATAGTCCCATTGATTGGATTTTGCACTTTTGGGTCTTTGTGTGTGTATGTGTGTTGTTATGTACTCCTTAAACTTACTTGTATGACACTTAAATAAATCAAAAAACAAAACACAACTGGGTTCAAGCTGAGGTATGGCACACTTTTTGTGTTATTGTCAATGGCTAGGTACATCTAGTATTTGTTGGCCCTGTCATCTATAATCATTTTAAAAGGAGAAGTTAATGGGTACAGCACTATTCAGTCAAATTAAAAATAATTACAGTAAACATGTACGGACCACAAACTTATGATTTAAATTATTTTTGATTTAAGAGTTTTCTGGCAAGAATATTATATGAACAATGATAATTCCGTAGAATGAAGTTTGTTTTTTTTTTTTTTTAGTTTTGTTTGAAGAATACTAGGCATTTTTCCTCTTAAGAAAAGTCTTGCACTTATATAACCACACATTTGAAATACTACATCTTTGTTTAATGTCCTATAAATAAGAATCACCAGAATCAAAAATAATATACTGCATCCTGAGAAATACTATAGGATCACATTATTTTTCTCTATGCTTAGTGACCTTTTATGTTATTTCATGACAAACCTTTTTTTGTTTAAAGTCAAAGTTACACTATTTCAATGTACTAAATGTTTAAGTGGATCAAGAAATTTCCTCATGCAAAATGATTGGAAGGTATTAAACTTAATCTTACTGGGAAGTGGGAACATATCACCTGGATTGAGACATTTTTGTGTTTTCATGGTTCTTTCCCTCTATTCTTTTAATTGAGGCCAAAATCCACGTGCCTTTTTCTTGCCATAGTCAATTAAGGTGTCCTCCCCCCAGCCCTCATACACAAAACATCAGGATAATGCTTTCAGTTTCCTCTTTCCTAACCTTCTCTCACCTTTCGCGCCTTTCTACATTTGCTATAATCCAAGGAACTGTGTTTTTTATGAGAAGCAAATACCTCAATGTTTTTCTAGTATTTTTCTAGTTCCTTGCCTTACTTCATTGGCATCCTTTCAAACTTCAGGGTCTGGAAAAACAGCTTTGTTCTTTTTGCTGCCTTTCCCAACATTGCTATTTCTTAATCCTTTTTACTTTATTTTTAAAAAATCTTTGTTCCCTTAAAATTCCTGTCTTTTTGCCTGTAGCAACCTTACATTAGTCCTCATGCTCTCATCTACTGGCCACTTTTTCTAATCCATTGAAGACTTTGGGAGCAGGTTTATAGTTTCCTTCTTACTCTACACTCTTCACAACTATTGCTTGCCTGTGCATCACTATGGAAAAATCACGTCTGACACTCTGGGCTTTCAGTTCCTTGACTGCCTCCCTTCTAGTGACTTTCACCTCTCATCAGCAATACACTAATGCCCCCTCCTCCTTCAGGCAACTTCAACTACCTTCTTTTTCTGCTCTTCTTGCATCTGTTGGGTAGAAACTTAACCCTGAATGAAGCATTTAATAATGTCCTCTCTGTGCCTGGTCCTGAGCTGAACATTGCTAGAGAAAGTCACAGAGAAAGGCAGATTGATTCCATCATAAATTCATTATTACAAATCTTAAGTGGGCTCTCAATATTATCCAACAGTCCTAATTTTTAAATATTCAAATCATTCTCCTTTGTGCAACTATTGTTGAAAACTTTATTTGCTTCACCAGGCTTTTTACTTTCCTCATTTTCCCTCAGTCTTAGCAGGCAACTGGCTGCTTGCTATTTCTTGTTGAAAATTATAAAGTTACATTCTGAGCAATTCCATGAATTCCGTGTGTGTGTGTGTGTGTGTGTGTGTGTGTGTATGTGTGTGTGTGTGTGTGCGCGCGCGCGTGCATTTAAAGGATCAAATATGCATTAAGTCTTACTTGGATGTAGCTCATAATTTATCCTCCATGTTCTTCACTTTTTCTACAATGACCTTTCCCCCATATTTATAGATAGCAGATGTCTTACTAAGTTTATTATTGTGTGCAAGTAAAATAAATGCAGTGTTCAGCACAATTCAGCAGACTCTCAGCTTTCTCATCAGATTATAGGTATCACAGGATTAAAAATAGTTTAGCCATCTGCTAACTGACCAAACAGTTTTAGTATTGTGAAAGGGTGTGGTGGGAGAGGGAGATAGAGGGTCTGTGTGTATTGTCTGTACAAGGTGCAGTGCAGAAACCACCTCGTGACCTCTTAATACTGAAACTTAAGAGTCAATTCAAAATTAGGAAGAGATTTGGTGGAGGTTAAGCCCAGCAAAGGCCTCATATAGGGGATTTTCCAGAATAGGGTATCAGAAGAATTTTTTTTCAGCTTTTGAATATTTCACTAAAATGTTTCAAAGAAAAGAATATGTGTTTATAAAGACATTAATTTTATGAAATATAATTTTTATTATATATTTAATATATATGTTTCTAGAAATGAACTTTAATTAAACTTTTGTATTTTACTCTTTAATTAGGAAAATCAATAGATTCCCAGTCATCTCGAAGCGAATGTGACATTGTGCCAAAAGTTGCTAAAATGACTGTATCTGGAAAGAAGCCAACCATGGGATTTGAAGTGCCTGGGTAAGATTTATAACCCTTCCCCCCACTTTTCTGAAATTAGTTTGTGTCCTGTTAGACTATCAGAAAATATATTATTAACATTGAGCTACCCACAGTCTTCAATATATCATAGTACAAAAGAAGAGGATAAGAAATTATACTTAATTCTAGACTTACCCATGTATATAACATAATCTGTCTCATTATCAATTTCCATATTTATTTAAATTAAATTATTTATAGCTACTTTAAAAACATGATTTTGTGAAATCTAACACTGTTGAGATAGGGACTCCTTGTGCCACTAGATGGCATAGTAAGTAGCATTTAGGAATTACTTGCAGGGTATGGGCAAAAGTAGGTTTACAATTGCAATACAAATAAATAATGCAATAATCCTATATAATAAAAGTCTGATATGCTAAATGTCTGGTTGTCCATTCAACCAATCAAAGTATAATATGCTAATGATATGCTAAGGCTACTCAACCACTTGCTATGACTTGCACTGACTAGAGGACAGACAGTTGATGGGTTGACCAGTCGCTATGATATGCTCTGACTGGTAGGTTAGCTTGCTGCTGGGGTCCAGCCAATCGGGACTGAGTAAGATGGGCCAGGAACTCCTTGGAACCCTCCTGGGGTCCCTCCTTGGCTGGCCCATCTCCCATGTTTCTCCCTGGCCCTGATGATGCACTGGTAGGGTCCCTTGGCCTGGCCTGTGCCCTCTTGCAATCCAGGACCCCTCAGGGGATTGTTGGAGAATTGGTTTTGGCCGGATCCTGCAGGTCTGGCTGAGGAAACCCACTGGTGCATGAATTCGTGCACTGGGCTTCTAGTTAATAAATAAGAATGATATAAGGATAAACTCTATTTCACATACTCATAACTGGCTTTAGAGTTAGCTCAGGTAAATGCTTGCAAATTATAGTCTAAATTTGATCTCACTTAATTTAGCCTGTTGGAATTTTTTAAAGGATAGGAGCATTTTTTACATTAGTAAATTTTTTTCCCTGTAGTTCAAGATAAAACTAAGCATTATTAAAAAAATGAACACCAAAATTGGCTATTGGAGATTTTGCAAAGCAAATTAAAATGGGAATGGATATGAGGTTTTTAACAAAGTTATAGATAAAACAATCTGACTCTTTCCTGAAGTATAGGATTAAGTGTGGAGCATATAAAAATGCCCTGAGAGGGAAACGTGACTTGCAGTTTAATCTATTCTCTGTCCTAATTCTATTTATCTATAGTCAATGATGGAAATGTAGGGCATATCACAGTCTGGAGGGTTAAGTCACATTCTTTATAGCTATCATAGGATAGCACTGCTACAGTTTCTATGTAGAATAGTCAAAGAGGCATCTTCATTGTCAAGGAGAGAATAAGTTAAGCTAGAATGGTCTTGTTTCTACTTTATGTGTCTGAGCCCCTTACTAGATTCTAAGCTTCTGAGAGGAGTAGATAACTTTCTCATTTCTATATCATCTTTTCAACATCAGTGCCTAGTATGTGCTGTAGTTTTTAGTAAATCAATCAAGTATTTTTTGAATTGAGACTCCTTTGCCAAAAGTATTAAGAATATGTAGACATTTAGAGATAGCTCCCTTAAAGATAGTTTAAGCAAAAGAGATTGTAAGTCCTCTTGTTAGAATAAGTTAGGGGTAAAACTAATTTTTCTTTACTACTAATTTATCTCCAGGAACACATTTTGTGTCAATCTTTTAAAAATGCCCCCTTAATGCCATCTTTTTTTGATAGGATTATATGGCTAAAACTATGGATTAATTAGACTTTGAATTTCAGTTATTTTACAGGATATTTTCTTCTTATCATAGTTTTGGTAGACTGTTTTTCTTCTGAGATCTTCCAAGTCTGTATTTGTGTGGTTTGGGTCTAGCTACTTATCATTTCTACCTTAACAGACTCTAACCACTTAGCAGAGGTCATTTTTAGTTTGCAAGTATAAGGAAGATGAAGAGAGGACTTCTCTGCCCTTCTGACATTATAGGACATCTGTTGAGTTGGTTTTTAACACTCTTTTCCTATCTCTGCTTTCTTTAGAGTAACAGCTGAAGAAAATGGTCATGGTATCCACACACCTCAAAAAGGACACCCTAGTGATGATACCAGCTTGGCTTCTTCTGATGCTCTCGATTCCGTTTCTAAATCAGCTGTTCCACCCCACACCATTCAAGCATCAGAGGAGCAGAGTTCAACACAAACACCAGGGAGAAAGTCTGGCAAGCTGAAGCAGCAGATAGATGTCAAAGCAGAGCTGGAGAAGCGGCAAGGAGGGAAGCAACTCCTCAACTTAGTGGTCATTGGTAATGTCCTTTGCCCCACTGGACTGTCAGTCAACTCTGCTTCAGTCTCACAGCTTCCTCGCTGCAGCATGGGAACTTGTTCCACTCTGCGTCTCTCTATGGGTTAATGGAATTGCATCATAATGCTTTCTAGTCACCCAGGGTGAAATAATGCCAACTTACCAAGGTCCTTAGACTTCACTGTGACCTTTTCATTTGTGACCATTTTGAAAATGGCATGTCTTGTTGACAATTTTAATTTACAAAAATCAGGAAAATTCTCCTCCTCTCTAAAAAGACATGCTCTTTTCCCTCCACTTAATTTTTTTAAATATCATTTATTAAAAATTGGTATTTATTACTCTAAACACTGCTGTGAACTATTGAGTTCCATGTTCATGCAATGCCTCAATGTGAACAACATCTGGAAAATGTACCTAGTATTAATACTGAATCAATTTTCCTTAGGTCATGTTGATGCTGGGAAAAGTACTCTGATGGGCCATATGCTTTATCTTCTGGGTAATGTAAACAAAAGAACTATGCATAAGTATGAACAAGAGTCTAAAAAGGCTGGCAAAGCTTCGTTTGCATATGCATGGGTCTTGGATGAGACTGGAGAAGAAAGGGAAAGGTAGTCACTATATTTCAAAATTTTCAGTTTGAAATTATATTTTAATTAAGTATGTAAAATGTGTTGAGTATGTGTGAAACACCATGAAATATTTTAGACTACTTTTAGAAAAAAGATTTCTATTATTTGCGAAATATTTTTACTGTATTTTTCATTACTACATACATAATGAATCTATATGTTTTTACTCTTCCAATTTCTCTGAGAATAGTTTAAAAGAACGTTTATTAAAACTTTTTAAAAAGCAGTAAAAATGCTTAGCTAATAATTCACTGAGTGACATTTCTGTTGTTACTTCCCTAAGTATATGTCAAATTGCCTTGATTTTGAATTAAAATTATGAGTAAGACTTTTACTTTTATGTCAGATTATAAAGAAAAGTTAACTTCTTGTAGTAAAATGTCTAGCAAATGCAAATGACCAGATTTAATTTACTTTTATACTTTTTATACTATGTTTTATGAAACAAAAGTCAACAAGTGACTAAACCTATCTCCTACCATATAGTTTTAATTAAGTCAGTTACTTCTTCTGTATCTCTTACTATTTTCAGTGCTAATATTGGGGATATTCTAGCAGGAGAATGCAGCTAGGAATACTCATAATATTTCTTTTGAAGCCTTTTTAAAATGGTGATATATATCCTGTTAGAGGAGGCAGTGGCACCTTTGTGAGGAAAGAAAGAGAACCTTAATAATTAAGTGAAATGGCAGATGTGTCAGCTATATCAAAATAATTACTTTTAAGACCTGAAGTCCTCTGAAAGTCCTGAGTCAACAATGGTTATTCTCTGTGCCTGTGTCTTCATTCTGAATGTGAATAGAGAATATATTTGGGTTTTCATGTTTTTTAAAAATGTGTATTTTTTTCTTGGACTCTTAGATAGTCTATATTATAATATATAAGGTAATTCTCAATAAAGGGGATATTAATATTCCTTAGCTGTTTTAATAAATAGGAATTTATGTTGCAGTGTTTTTTTCTCTTATAGGTGTCCCTTTTATTCTATACATAATATCACATGCTTGTTTTCTAACCTAGTAAGAAACGTTAGTGGAATAGCTGCACGTTTTTTAAAAACTTATATTGGAAAACAGTGAAATTTATGTATGATATCAGAAGACTAAACAAATTTCTATTTGTCAGTTTACTGTGCAGATTATTAAAGTATATATATATATATTTATATATATATATATGTGTGTGTGTGTGTGTGTGTGTGTGTATATGCTTGTGTCATCTATTAAGTATATAAACAAATTGAGGACGCTATAAGTTAGAATGACTTGTGTGAATTTTCTTAAGTGAGTTGAACTGGGAAGAGACATCATTATCTCATTCCTAGAGTAGTCAATATTTTTAGTGGTTTTTAAAAGAATAGATCTGCTAATTATCTGTCATATTTCTGCTGCTGCTAGTTCTCTATTATTCAGCATGATACAATTTTTAGAATATTCCTTTATTCTGTAGCTAGGAGAAGCTTCCAGATATAGAATGGGAGTTTTAACTTGCTCTTTTATGCTCCTTAATAACATTTCAAAAATATAATGTGTTGTTTATCCCAGCATGTTAAATATTTGTGAATCCTTCATTCTAATTATGTTTGGAACAAAAATTAGTAAAATGAATGACATCTTTAGGCTTATAAATCTAGACCAGAGCTGAGTGAAGATTATATAGTGGTCAAAGAAGTCTAGGGAGAATCTTGGAATAAATATCTGATCATCATAATCTAAAAGCAATTATTTGGGGATTATTAAAGAGAATGAAGCATAATTTCAGAAGTTCAAATGGCCCATGGGTTCATATTAAACTAGAATGGGTTGAGTAAGGAGACCACAGTTACCTTACTGTTAGGGTAACCATGTAATTTATCATTATAGTTGTTGGGATACTAGGTAGTAAAAGAGGGTGCTCATTCATTACTCTGGATTATCCTGGACAGAACAGATGGGCAATTACCTAGTTCATTGCCCAACTGATTTCTAAATTCCTGAAGTCTAGAATGATTTAGTACCTTTGCAGACCATCCCTGGGCTTTCTTATACCCGAATCTGCATTTGTGTTGCTGTCAAGAGGCACTGTATTTGGTTTTTAAGAAGGATGAAATGGGATATGAAACAAATTACTCCATCTTCCTTAGTTTTTAAAAAATGGGGCCTCTCCTTTAGTATCTCCTGTTTTCTAATGTGTAACATACTGACTGGTCTTACAGATGAAAGTTTCCTAAGTTTGTTTCTATAATTAGTGAAGCATAAACATAAGAAGGTGAGGAAAACTACCCCCTGGTAGTGGTCATTCTTCATTTTACCTTTTCTTCATTTTACTGTTCTCTTTTTTGGAGATGTCTCCACATATCCTCCTTTGTTTCCAATCTACATTGCTTACAAAAGGAAAAAAAATCTTTGCTGCATTCACACTTTTTAAAAAATATATGTATTTTATTGATTTTTTACAGAGAGGAGGAGAGGGGGATAGAGAGCTAGAAACATCAATGAAAGAGAAACATCAACCACCTGCCCCTTGCACACCCCCCACCGGAGATGTGCCGGCAACAATTGTACATGCCCTTGACTGGAATTGAACCTGGGACCTTTCAGTTCTCAGACCCACGCTCTACCACTGAGCTCTACCGGTTTCTGCTGCATTCACACTTTTATTTTAAAGTTCTATGGGTTTAATTTGGTAACAGCAGAAATTTTAGTCCAAATTGATAGCTTAATTTCTCAAAGTAATAGGCTATATAATCAAATCCCCATTATTACTTAAGAATATAGACTGTCATTTAACTTATAGTATGAAATAATTTAATCCATTACACTGATTATTTATATAGTGCATTCTAACCATTTTATGTTTTCTTTAAGGGGAGTAACAATGGATGTTGGTATGACAAAGTTTGAGACTACAACCAAAGTTATAACATTAATGGATGCTCCAGGCCATAAGGATTTCATTCCAAATATGATTACGGGAGCGGCCCAGGTACCAGATATTTCCTTAATGATAGTGCACTACATGTATATAAAATTTCCTGATGCTGATAGGTTATAACTTTTAAAATTCTAGGTTATAACTTTTAAAATTTTAACTTTTAAAAACTTAGAAAAAAGAGAAATATTTTTCATGATCTCTTTATCAGTACTTCATAAAACGTTTTCTAATTCATTACAAAGAAACAAACATATAAAAGCTATGAATTTCTTTATAGTAAAAACTAGAGGACTGATGCATGAAGATTAGTATAAGAATGGGCCTTCCTTCCCCTTGCTGCTGGCACTGCCTTCGCTCTGGCCAGAGTCGCCTTTCCACCTTCCCACACTGTCCAGAGGACCAGAGTGGCTGGGGTGGTGGGGAATGCCTGTGTTGTCCCCATGGTGATGACGCAAATGTCCCGCCCTGCCCTTGGCTGCTCAGCACCTGTGTATGCAAATTAACCCACCATCTTTGTTGGGTTAATTTGCATACCCGTTCCTGATTGGCTAGTCAGTGTCATGAAGGTACAGTTGTCAGGAAGGTATGGCCAATTAGCATGTTGCTCTTTTATTTGGTAAAGGATAATGATAAAAATGCTTGATGAGATATACATTTCATTTGTTAAATTGGAGTGATGATTTCAACATCTGCCTTTTTGCAAGTCCTATCTATTCAGAGTGAATTTATGCATAAATAATGAAGGTTGGAAGTTTTCCCCCTATGCTTTATTTCCGTTCTTTATAGGATTAAAAAGTAATTAGTTTGTAAACTTACATGTAACACTACATATAGGACATTAATTTTTTTAATAACAGATGATTATTGGAAAATATGGAGAGTTCAAAAATTTGCCCATGTCGCCTGACAAAAGTGTGACTTCTGTTTTAATTTTGTTTATATTTTTCCTCCTTTACCCTGATATTCTAATCTATATTAATAAAAGGGCAATATTATTAATTGGACTGGATATCTTCTGGATGCCCTTCTGGACAAAGCTGAAGTCGCTGCCTGCGGCTGCGAAAGGCCAAGGTCAGCTGCCACAGCTGCAAAAGGCATGTGAAAGGCCAAGGCCAGCTGTGGCGCAGGAGAGGCAGCGCTGGGAGAGGTGGCAGCACCATGGTCCCAGAGCCTCCACAGAGGCTGTATGGTGTGCAACTGCGGTGCCTCCCACAGCTCCTCCCCCAACTGGCCTGGCCCCTGATTACCCACCCCACCAGTGGGCAGGGGGCAGGGCCAGTGCTAAGAAGAAAGGGCTGAGAGTCGGCAGCCTCAATGGCTGCCAGTGGCAGCAGCAGCAGCGAGTTGATGGAGGCAGGGCATTCCCCCTGATCGCCTGGTGGCCTCCCGCAGAGGGAGGCCAGACTGTGGCTTACGCTTGCTCCCATAGGGACATCCCCTAAGAACTCCCAGAATGTGAGAGGGTGTAGGCGTGTGAGAGACCCTCCTCCCCAGTGCACAAATTTTTGTGCACTAGGCCTCTAGTAATATAATCAAATATGAGAATTTTTTTATTCTTTATTGTGTATGCTGGTACTCTTTTAACTGAAAAATTGTAAACCATCTGTGTAATTCTTTTGTTATATTTGCTTTGTTGTTTGGTGTCAGCTTAGAATCTGCCTTTCAGATCTGACCAATACACAATTAGCTGAAAAATCTGCCCTTTGAATTAAAATTCTGTGACATTAATTTCCAGTTTTGATTATTTTTTCTTCCTTAGGCAGATGTAGCTGTTTTAGTTGTAGATGCCAGCAGGGGAGAGTTTGAAGCTGGATTTGAGACTGGGGGACAAACACGAGAACATGGCCTCTTGGTTCGTTCTCTTGGAGTAACACAGCTTGCAGTTGCAGTCAATAAAATGGATCAGGTATGTAAAGGGTTTAGGAGGATTTTTAGATGCTAATTAAGATGTTATTCTACCATATTGGGGACCTTAGATGTGACTGTATTTTAAAAGTCCACTTGCTGTATTTGAAAAAAGAAATTGTTTTCCAATTTAATAAATAATACATGGTATTTCTTTTCCTAACTTGCTTTTTAGTATTTACCATAATATGTAAATATACTTTATATATTTATTGACCATTTATATTTTTTCTTTTGGAATTATTTATAAATTTGCTCATTTTTAATTTTCTTTTCTTATCAATTTCTAAGCATTACTTATTAAAGATATTAATTTTTTATTTTACTTGCTTGATCACATTTTTATCTATCTTCCCCTGTATCTATCTTAATGCATTTCATTTTGATATGAATTTCCAAGTATGTTACAGATATTGCTGCCCTTACCTCTAAATAATACAGTATGCATTATGCTATCTAGAGTTCATATTGCATATATATTTTTAGTCTCTTTGGCTTTGTATTATTTTCATCAGTTGGTCCAAACACAATGTAATAAATTATCCATTTTTCTCTCCAAATTTGAAATCACTTTTAACATATACAAAAATGTCTGTGTGTATTAGTTTGTTTCTAGGCTTTCTGTTGTAAAATTACTTTTAGATCATATTAATAGTGAGATCTTATATTCTGAATTTTAATTTTAACCAGTTAACTGCCACGATATTTTGAATTTAGTTTAAAAAGCAGCTACCATATTTTCCGGCATATAAGATGACTTTTGAAATGAAAAAAAGCCTGCTCAGATTGGCCAGAGTCAGAGAGGTGGTCTATTAAAAATAGAACTGCTGTTGCCTCGGAAGTGGGGGGTAGTCTTATACAGCGAATATAAGCCTAAACCTATATTTTAACTGTAAAATTAGGAGGTCGTCTTATACGCCAGAAAATACGGTATAGATACTATGGCAGTTAACTGGTTAAGGGATTTTATATTTAATAGATTTTATATTTATTTTATAGTCTTGATTATTTACATTTTATTGTATAAATTTAAATTTTATATATAGCCTGTGTCTGAATCATAGTTTTAAACTTAAATTGGATCTTTATCAGGTTAATTGGCAACAAGAAAGATTTCAAGAGATTACTGGAAAACTTGGGCACTTTCTTAAGCAAGCAGGTTTTAAGGTAAGGTAATTTTAAATTTATTTATGTAGTTACTTTCCTTAAGTCTCATTTTATTATTATGAGAGAAAAAACAAATATGTTGGTGTTCTTGTTAAATATCATGAATTCTTTTTTTTTTTGATTACCTCATTATCATGTATATATTATATCTTAGTTCTTTGGATTACATCACCTTAAATTGCAAATTGTAAATTGGCTTGGACTTAATACAAGTAAAATACTTTTTTTCCACCTATTCAATTAGATGTATAGTTTAGGGCAATCACAAAGAAAAGTGGAAAACAATAGAGAGGAATTTCTCCAGCAAAAATGTCAAATATGCTTATGTTGCTAAGTAAAATGCTTGGCATGTTTTGGAACGTATTTGTAAATTTCCCACAAAATCAAAAAAGTTGAAAATATTGGATTGAGATCAGGATTGTAGTACTATTACTTTTAAAATACATTATTGTTGCTTTTAACTTTTTAGAAATGATGTTGTATTAAGTTTCATATATCCAATCTTTTTTAATAGGAAAGTGATGTTGCTTTTATCCCTACAAGTGGTCTCAGTGGTGAAAATCTAATCACTAGATCCCAGTCGAGTGAACTTACAAAATGGTATAAAGGACTTTGTTTACTAGAACAAATTGGTAAGAATATTGCCTTGCTAATTTTGAAGCATTATAAATTTGCTATTAATTATTGTTTAGAGTTCTTTATGGTAGACAGTGTTGTGTGTGCAAAAGCATAGGATTTGTAATTAGAGGAGCTACGTTACCAGATTTGAAATAAAATGCAATATTTAAACTAATACTTTTCCTTATTGAATTAATGAGGCTAATATCTACCCTACCCACCTCATAGACTGTTGTTGACATTAAATGATTTAATATCCATGAAAACATTTTATAAACTACAAAGTATTATATGAATGACTGTCAATTTGCTATTTTTATATTTATAAAAAATTATTATTTTCTAAGAGAGATGAGTCAAAAATTACTTTTAAATTAAACCAGCTTTTTTGCCATTTTTTTAGATTCTTTCAAGCCTCCTCAACGATCTATCGATAAGCCTTTTAGATTATGTGTATCTGATGTTTTCAAAGGTAAGTGCTACCTCTGCAGTGCTGTTGCAGTATGACCCCTGCCTTTCTGTTATCTCCTGACCTCTTTTCTTGGACAAAATTATTATATTGTCTTTCAGATTCTCCCTTCTTTATGCCAATGTGAGGATCACTGCCAAATTTAAGGGGCACAGTACTAGTTTCTTAACTCCCCTGCCCAGAAAAATCTTCAGTTTACTCACTATTTCCCCGTCTCATTTATTTTTCAGGTATGAAAAAACTTTATCCTTTATCTTTCTAGCCTCATAATTTTTTCTCACAGTAGATCCCCTTAGTTTCTGTATTCTTCAACCAAACTGGATTGTTCACTATTTCTTAACCACATTGGAGGGTCCCTGTTGCCACACTGCCTACCCATGGTTTGTTCTCTCTCTTTATTCATTTCCTATCTATCTGTAGGAGTCTGGATTCAATCAGGATATATCTACTACACATAGGTAAAATGGGAAGTTCAATATAAAGAATTTTTAATGTAATAAAAGAGAGTGATATAAGATACTAGGGGCCCAGTGCACAAAATTTGTGCATGGGGGATGGGGTCCCTCAGCCCGACCTGCACCCTCTTCAATCTGGGATCCCTCAGGGGATGTCTTGCTGATGGTTTAGGCCTGTTCCCTATGGTTCCCTGCTCTCTGAGGTCCTGCCTGCTTGATGCCACTGCAGGCCCTGGTGTCTGCTCTCTGTGGGGGCCCTGCTGTCTACTTGCTCACTGCAGGGCCTGCTTGCCCCTTGTTGCCAAGGCCAGGGGCAAGCTGGGCCCAGCTGTCTGCTACCCCGCAGTCTGCTGTCTGCTTGTTCGCTGTAGGGGGCATTCCCACCCTGCCCCTAGCCGCTTGTGTGCACGTCGGCTTGGAGTGCCTGGGTCCCGGGGATGTCCCCACCCTGCCTCCGGCTGCTCGGTGCCTGCGAGCATAGGCTCAGAGTGGCCAGGGGCATTCTAGGACCCCGGCTGCTCCAGGCTTACATGTGGGTCTAGAGCTCAGAGTGGCCTGTCCCCCGAGGACGCCCTGTATGTGTAGGCCCCCGGCCTACAGGCCTAGTGTGCAGACCTACAGGCTCAGGTGGCCTGAGTCCTGAGGACACCTGTCTTTGGGACCCAGGCCACTTGGTGCCGGCATGCACACAAGCAGCTGCCCTGCCTCTGGCTGCTTGGCACCTGCATATGCAAAGTAACCCACCATCTTTGTTGTATTAATTGGCTGGTAAGCATCGCAAAGTGATAGTCAATTTGCATCTTTGTCTTTTATTAGTGTAGATAAGGAAACTATGTGGTACCCTATGGCTGAAGGAAAGTACCCAAACACAGAAGGGTACAGACATTGCTGGAGGAGGTGGTATATTAAATACCTAAGAATATACCTCACTTAATGAGTATATGACCCTATCCAATATAATAAAAACCTAATATACTGTCGGTCGTCCGGTTGGCCATTCAGCCAATCAAAGTGTAATAAGCTAATGATATGCTAAGAATGCTCAACCACACTCTATAAAATGTACTGACCACCAACGAGCAGACACTTGACCGGTCGACCAGTCACTATGATGTGCACTGACCACCAGGAGGCAGATGGTCCGACTGGTAGGTTAGCTTGCTGCTAGGGTCTGGCCGATCAGGACTGAATGAGGCAGGCTGGATACACAATCGAGCCCTCTCATGGTCCCTCCCTGGCTTGCCAACCTCCTGCATTCCTCCCTGGCGCTGATCATGCACCAGTGGGGTCCCTTGGCCTGACCTGCACCCTCTCGAAATCCGGAACCCTTTGGGGGATGTCAGAGAGCTGGTTTCGGCCCAACAGCAGAATGACCAATTACTATGATGTGCATTGACGACCACTAAGGGGCAGATGCTCAAACCAGGAGTTGCCCCCTGGTGGTCACTATCCTCTCATTCAGGGGAGCGCCACTCAGCCAGAAGTTGGGCTCAGAGCTGGTGGCATCCCCCCAAGGGCTCCCAGACTAGGGGAGGGCACAGGCCGGGCTGAGGACCCCTTAACCCCCACCGAATGCATGAATTTCATGCACCAGCCCTCTAGTATAGAAATATATAACAAGGAAATGGAATAAACAATCTTATAAACAGAAGGATGTAACATATATTTTAAAAGTTAATACAGTAAAAATGTCACTTGACCCCCATATCTCCATTATTCACAGAGCAGGCAGTAAAGAGTGGATTTGGAACTGAGAAGCAGTAAATTGATGACTGGCAAGTTCACCAATCACATCCTCTGAGGTGTTTCTCTGTGTTCTCTGTATCCTCTGTCATTGTATTTCTCATGCAGTAGTATAAGTGTCTGAGTGCTGTCACTTTCACTTAGATTACGAACTCCCTGAGGGCAAGAACCATCTGTTCTCTCTCTGTATCTGCAGGACCAGGCTCCTAATGCTGAATAAATGTTTAAGAATGAATGAATGAATGAATGGATGAAGGTGTCTCACAAAAATCATTTAACTGTTCACCACAAGCTGCGAATCTTTTTTAATTCAAAATATTGTGGCAGTTAACTGGTTAAAAAGCCTAAATTTATTATTGTTATTAGCTTCTAGCATTCTGGTAGTAGAAGAGTATATATGGTAATGCTTTCCAAATTACTGTTATCTACTTAAAATACAAGAGGTGCTTAAATTTCTCTTTTGATTAGCAATGTTTGCTGACTATTTTTTCATCTCCTATTCTGTCTTCTGGCTACTTCCTGGCTTCTGACTACACTGCTCTCCTCAATATGTTCCCACTGATGTTACCAAGTGATCACTTGGTTGCCCAAGTCAATAACATTTTTCAGTTCTATTTTACTTCCACCTTACTTGAATTTGGTGTTACTTCTGAGAACACTAGTCACATCTGCCTTAAAACTTTTCTCCCTTGGTTTCTGTGACCCACTTTCTTCTGCTCTCCTTTCTATGTCTTTGACCTCTCTATATCTTCTCTGTGCTCCTCTTTCTCTTGTCTGTTAACTAGTGTTCTGTTGTTTCAATCCTCTTACTCTATATGCTCCTTTTGTACAGACATGCATGAGTTCATCTGCCTCTTGATGCTTCCCAGATCTGTATCTCTAACCCATCTGTTCACATTCTCTAGATAAATGTACTACCTGCTCCTGGACATCCTCATAGGGAATGTGCTCCCATGGCCCCATTCTTATGGAATTTGGTGTGATTGGTGCCCCCTGGAATGCATCTTCTCCACATGGATGTCTTCATTATTTCATGTGGTCCCTGGAAATTCCATATAAATGACACTAGGTCTTAGCACATCCCACATGTGGTTATAACTCTACACCTTTGCATCTGAGGTTTTCTGGGTCAGCAGTGTTTTCCTGCTTCCCCTACCCATACACACAAGTTACCTGGTGATCTTCTGTACCTTCTCCTTCCAAGTGCCCAGCTAAACTGTACTTGTTCCCCCTCAACATGGATTCTTCTATGTACCTTTTTCTGTTTCTAAGTGTTCATTATAAGTAACATTTGTCTCTGGACAATGTAATTGTTTTTGTCTTCCTCTTCACTGGTGTAAACTCCTTATGGGTAGGTGATTATATTTTTATCTCTTTATCCCCAGAGTGCCTGGTACTTAGTAAACATTCAATATATATTTGAAGAAGAAATGAATTTCCAATTTTTAAAATATGAATATTTTTATTTGTAAGAAAATCAAAAGTAGAATGTGATATGCCATATTAGTAGATATTAAAAATTCTGAGATTAACATTGATGTTCATTGAACTACAGTTTTATATATAACTGCTAGGGAACTAAATAGAGCTAATAGCATTAATCATCAGATTGCGTTGCTATGTGAATCATTATAAGCTTTGGGTATGTTTTACAGATCAAGGATCTGGATTTTGTGTAACTGGGAAAATTGAAGCTGGTTATATCCAAACTGGTGACCGACTACTAGCAATGCCTCCTAATGAAACCTGTACAGCAAAAGGTATTCCTCTGCAAAATTCTTCTGCTAAATAACCCTTATGTTGAGACAGCAGATTTTAAAAAGTAGTGCAATTATTTACTCTAGAGTAAATAACCTCTTACTGAAATTGTAACTGACTGTCAAAATGATACTAACTGTTGAAGATAAAAATGTGAAAACATTAAACGATTTTTTTCTGTTGTGACTGTGTGTGTATATATGTACCTATAGCATTCTAACTGTGGTAGCATTTTTTTTTTTTTTTGACACTGATGTGAGAAGTCTGTTTAGGATTTAACCAGATGTAGAGACACCTGACAGATACATTTAAAATAGTATTCGGTAGCAGAAATTAAGTCCAACCTAACTGAGCACTAAACAGTTAGTGGTAAAGCAGATTCCTGCAGTCTGTTGTTTTGAAATGTGTATTTCAGAATCACTATATGGTAATAGCTTTGATCATGCTTATACCAAAAAAAAAAAAAAATTATAGGGAGACCTAAGAAAATAAGATGTAAATGTGGAGAATCCTGATGTTGAAAAGAGAAATTGTGAGCTAGTTTAAAGTACACCAATTATTGCTTTTCTACATAATCTAATATATGACCTTTCATGATGGCTGATGACTGTTCTCATCTTCTAATCATTTGATCTTACATGTATACATGTTATTATTTTCTAAATTCTGCTTAAAAGTTTATAATGTTATACTTACCTTAAGATTAAATTTTTCAACTAAGTCTAGGACTTCAACTTAAAAATGAAGATCTGTTTGTACTATAAAGTAATAGTATTTGTAACAATTTTAAACTAAAGTGTAATCTACTGGGAATGTTAAAATTTTTTGAAATTTCAGTTTTTCTTCTGTTAATCTTGTTTATAATTTATATCCAGAGTTGTTTATAAATTTGAATATACATTAAAAATTAATTTGTTTATTACTTTAAAAGCTAATTTTCTAATGATTAGAAGAAATTAATGAATATGTGTCTAGATAATAGTGTTTAACCTACATTTAAAGATGAATAGGGGATGAAAGATAAAATTATTTCCATTTTACTTTTTTCTTTTGACTTGCTTAGGGATCATGAAAATTCTGTTTAGATAAACAATAATACATACACATTTTTTTAAAAAGTTGCAGGTTCAGATATCTTATTTTTTAAAATGATCAAGAGCTACAATAGTTTTGAATTACTGATTATGTTAACAAGCTTTTCTGAGAATAAGAAGTGTTTTTTTAATAACCAGTAGACATGAATTAAAACCATGTTTTTAAAATTATCCATGAACCTTACAGATTGACTACTTTGTGACAATTTGGTCACTACTGAAAGTCCCACATTCTCTGCCTTACTCCTTCCTGTCACTGCCCTTCCAGATAAACGCTACCCACTTGTCTTTAATTCACTGGTCTTAAAGAGACACTGTATCAGAAGCCCCTGGAGAGTATAGCACCCTCTCCTGAGAGCTCTGCTTCTACTTCAGTATGGAGGCTCTCCGTTCTCAATTTCTAACCCTGTGCTTTGCTTCATTTATTTGGTTGTTTAATGCATACTTCTTTCTGAACACTTTAGGTGCTACTGTGGCTCATTAACCAGCTGTGTCCTAAAAGAGAGAAGTGACTAAATCTGCAACCAACAAGTGGAAATTCTTAATTACATTTTTGCCTTATTAACATTATCAAGTGCATGGAGTGTTGAAAAAGAACTTTTTTGTATGTAATGTCTGTCTAGTGAAGAAGGTCTTCAAGAAGATAGATATCATATATAGGACAGTATAACATGTCTGGGGGCAGAAAATTAGATTATATATTATCTATAGATTTTTTATATGGTTAATTGAACTTCTGGTATAAATGCCCTTCCATCTTAAATTAAAGCAATCTCTAGTATATGTTAAGTAGCTAGCTCCTTCAATGCCACATTTCATAGAAAAATCATGGCCATTTAAAATCTACATTTAAAAACTAAATGTAATTAGTTGAAAATTTAGCGAATATTCCTTAATATCTGAATTGTTAACAGTTTTAGAGTCAAGGACCTCTTTGATACCTTGATGAAAATTATGGCTCTCTTCTCAGAGTAATTCAGATGTGCATATAATTGAAATTTTGAATAAAAGTATAAGTTGTTTTAGAGCCCTTAAAGTTCTTGAATTTTCAAAAAGTCTTAAACTCGCATAAGTGTATTCTACCTAGGAAAAATAAGTATTTTCAGAAATATATGGGTAAATTATAATTTACTAAAAACATGTCATTTAAGAATTATTCCACAGTTGTTGTCTTTCATACTGTTTTCATCACAAGACTCAAGTCCCAGTGGAAAGGAGCTTACCCCATAAACTTAACCCATGGAATCATAAAATAAGATATTACGTTTAAGTCTTTGAATAAGGCAGTGGAGCATTGCCCTTGCAGTTGTTCTCCAGGCTAATCCCTAGGTAGAAGAGGTATGTGGCAGCACCTGGAATCATTTTTAAATTAAAATTTTACACTATTAATCTCTTTTTATATAACCAGTTATCACTGTGCATCTCTCTGTCTTTGGGCAGCCATTCTTTTGAGACAAGAATTAGTGAAAGGGTCTGCCAAGAGCACATCTGACTGAGCAGTGATGCCCATGGCTCCTTGGTGAACACTGGCGTTGGTTTAGGTGGTTGTCTAATTCTACGTAAAACAGAAGACTAGACAGCTTCCCCAGTCCCATTTTTTATGTTATTAAAAGTAATTGGAGCTGTATTGTTATACCTACATCCATTAATATAACAAAATATAACAAAATATTTGAATGGGGCTTGTTTAGTTAATATACTCAGTTGTGTAAATGAGTTTAAAATTCTTGATTGAAAAAACAGAAATCAGCCTTTTATGGACAAATATAAGTCACTTTATGTTTAGGGTGGTTTGCCAGAGGAGTCAAGTGTAGAGGCAGTGCATCTTCCTTAGCATTCAGTTACTCTTCTCACTCTCGATCCATTCATATTGAAAATGATGAGTAGTGACTGATGAGGCACAAATCAGCCAAACTCTCTTGGTTGTTATGGTTCGATATTGAGGTGTTTCATTGTATTCTTTGGTTCTTACTCATTTCCAGGAATCACTCTGCATGATGAACCTGTTGATTGGGCAGCAGCAGGCGATCATGTTAGTCTTACGTTGGTTGGGATGGATATCATCAAAATTAAGTGAGTGAAAAATGAATTTAATCAACCATTGTTTTAGATAGGACCTCAAAACACATACATTTTGCATTCGACCAGTTCAAATGAAATAAAAAGTATTAATTCTGAATCTTATTTTGGCCAAAATCAGGCACTGTGGAAGTATAATAATAATAAGCAAACCTACTTAAAATTAAAATCAATGCATGTCAGCTCACATACTTTGAGTGAAAGGTGTTATGTATGAAAATGATAGCCTATCTAATAAAAGACTAATATGCAAATTGATCGTCACTCCAAGACACAAGATGGCTGCCCCCATGTAGTCAAAGATGGCTGCCCCCGTATGGTCAAAGATGGCCGCCTCTTATGGACACAAGATGGCTGCCCCATGTGGACACAAGGTGGCCGCCACAAGATGGTCTAGGGGGAGAGCAGTTGTGGGCAATTAGGCCAGCAGGGTAGGGCAATTAGAGGTTATCAGGCTGCAGGAAAGGGCAGTTGGGGAGGACTAGGCCTGCAAAAGAGGGCAATTTGGGTGACCAGGCCAGCAGGGGAGGGTAGTTTGGGGGACCAGGCCTGCAGGGGAGGGCAGTTGGGGGCAACCAGGCTGATAAGGGAGGACAGTTAGGGGTTATCAGGCCACCAGGGAGGGCACTTCTGGGTGATGAGGCCTGCAGGGGAGGGCAGTTAGGGGCAATTGGGCCAGCAGCAGAACAGTTAAGCATCTATCAGGCTGGCAGGGGAGTGGTTAGAGGATGATCAGGCTGGCAGGCAGAAGTGGTTAGGGGCAATCAGGCAGGCAGGCAAGTGAGTGGTTGGGAGCCAGTACTCCTGTATTGTGAGAGGGATGTCCGCCTACCCTTTTATGCCTGATTCCAACCAGATCAGGCATAAAAGGGCAGGTGGACATCCCTCAAGGAGTCCCAGATTGGAGAGGGTACAGGCTCAGCTGAGGAACACTCCCACCCCCTGTGCATGAATTTCATGCATCGGGCCTCTAGTAAGGTATAAAGCCAGACTTTGACCCAGGAGGAAATATTTAGAAAAAGACCCTAATTTGCTTGCCTGTTTTACTTAGTAAATGATTGTAGGGGTAATCCTATTAGATGTATATTTATTTGTCCCCCAACTACCTTCTCTTCTCTTTTTTTTCTTACAGTGTTGGCTGCATATTCTGTGGTCCCAAAGAACCCATTAAAGCTTGCACTCGGTTCAGAGCCCGAATTCTCATCTTTAATATTGAAATTCCTATCACTAAAGGATTTCCTGTAAGTTTCAAAATGTTCAGTGTGTACTGTTTTTACAAATTCAAAATCACTTTATCCTAAAAAATAATATATATAAAAATAATAATTATATATATATATATAATTATTATTATTTTTACAATTGATAGTGCTGTGGTTATTTTCAGCTAACATCTAATCCAGAAAAATATGAAATTATGAAAAATATGAAATTAGAATTTGAAAATCATTTTTATTTTTACTTTTTGTTTTGATCCTTGAGCCTGAATATTTTTCAAAGAGACATTGAATAGATATTTCATAATCAATAGGATACAAATTGATGTTAATAATATATCCCATAAGGGAAATTGGTAGATTCTTTTTCACTGTGTTCTAAAGGTTACCTAATTATAAATTGTTTTTTTTTCTGTTTTTTTTTGTTTGTTTTAATATGCTTATTTGTAGTTTTTTTGTTTATAAAATTGATACAGTGTTAGAGAAAACCTTGGAAAACACAAGAAAATAAACTTAGTAAGCTTGTTCTATAATTGCATAATCCATGAATATATACTCTTTACATTTCAGTATGTTTTTCTGTGTACGTGCTGTCTACCTATTGGTATTTATGGATATATTCTAGGGATGCTTGCCATAGGGTAAACTTTTTTGGGGGGAGGGGAGGTGTGAGCAGCCACTAATTTGTTTTTGTTTGTTTGTTTGTTTTTAAAATATATTTTATTGATTTTGTACAGAGAGGAAGGGAGAAAGAGAGTTAGAAACGTCGATGAGAGAGAGTCATCGATCAGCTGCCTCTTGCATACCTCCTACTGGGGATATGCCCGCAACCAAGGTACATGCCCTTGACCGGAATCGAACCTGGGTCCTTCAGTCCCCAAGCCGACGCTCTATCCATTGAGCCAAACCGGTTTCGGCGAGCAGCCACTAATTTGGCCAATTTTATTTATTTATTTGTTTGTTTGTTTGTTTATTTATTTTTTCCTAGTTAAACCTAAGCCTAAGCCTAGTTAAGCCTAGCTAAGCCTAAGCCTAAACCTAGTTAAACCTAAGCCTAAATCTAAGCCTAAGCCTAAGCCTAAGTCTATGCATATTTAAGCCTAAGCCTAAGCCTAAGCCTAGTTAAGCCTAAGCCTAATTAAGCCTAAACCTAAGCCTAAGCCTAGTTAAGCGTAAGCCTAGTTAAGCCTAAGCCACGCCTAGTTAAACCTAAGTCTAGTTAAGCCTAAGCCTAGTTAAGCCTAAGCCTAAGCCTAGTTAAGCCTAAGCCTAAACCTAGTTAAGACTAAGACTAGTTAAGCCTAAGCCTAAGCCTAGTTAAGACTAAGCCTAAGCCTAGTTAAGCCTAAGCCTAAACCTAGTTAAGACTAAGACTACTTAAGCCTAAGCCTAAGCCAAGTTAAGACTAAGCCTAAGCCTAGTTAAGACTAAGACTAGTTAAGCCTAAGCCTAATTAAGCCTAAACCTAAGCCTAGTTAAACCTAATCCTAAACCTAGTTAAGCCTAAGCTTAGTTAAGCCTAAACCTAAGCCTAGTTAAACTTAAACCTAAACCTAAGCCTAGTTAAGCCTAAGCCTAGTTAAGCCTAAGCCACGCCTAGTTAAACCTAAGTCTAGTTAAGCCTAAGCCTAGTTAAGCCTAAACCTAAACCTATCGTAAACCTAAACCTAAACCTATAGTTAAGACTAAGACTAGTTAAGACTAAGACTAGTTAAGCCTAAACCTAGTTAAGCCTAAACCTAGTTAAGACTAAGACTAGTTAAGCCTAGTTAAGCTCTGTTAAGCCTAAGCTAGTTAAACCTAAGCCTAAGTCTAGTTAAGCCTAAGCCTAAGCCTAGTTAAGCCTAAGCCTAAACCTAGTTAAGACTAAGACTAGTTAAGACTAAGACTAGTTAAGCCTAAGCCTAGTTAAACCTAAGCCTAAGCCCTGTTAAGCCTAAGCCTAAGCTAGTTAAACCTAAGCCTAAACCTAGTTAAGACTAAGACTAGTTAAACCTAAGCCTAGTTAAGACTAAGCCTAGTTAAGCCTAAGCCTAGTTAAGACTAAGCCTAGTTAAGCCTAAGCCTAAGCCTAGTTAAACCTAAGTCTAAACCTAATCATAAGCCTAAGCCTAAGCCTAGTTATGCCTAAGCCTAAGCCTAGTGAAGCCTAAGCCTAGTGAAGCCTAAGCTTAAGCCTAGTTAAGCCTAAACCTAGTTAAGCCTAAGCCTAGTGAAGCCTAAGCCTAGTGAAGCCTAAGCCTAAGCCAAAGGGTAAACTTAATTGTGCTGAAGCAATACCTTGAGACTGCCTGCTGTGAGGTTGGTTTGCTCGTTATCATGGACCAGCTTCATTTGAAACATACACATTTATGGGAAGAGGATGATTTTATGCTATGATGTTACTTATCCAGAAAATATACTGCTACTTGTGCTAGCATGAATTCCTTGTCTTATGTGTAATTTTTTTCAGATATTCAGGCCATACTCTGTTTATAGGTTGGTAACTTGTTTTTGTCACTTAATAAACAAACATTTTTTTCCGTCAGACTTTTTTTTTTTTTTCTTGATCAGCTTATATAGTACAGATTCTGCATGACAGTAAAAAAATATTCCTCAGTGGAATTAAATGGCTTCCCTTTGAAAATATAAACAGCTCACCATTCAGTGCATCTTTGCAATAAAAATAAGACAGTAATAGTAATGGATCTTTAAACTTTAAGTTAGTGATAGTACTTAAGGGGTTAAACATACATTTATTTAGCTAATTTAAATTCATTTTATATTTACACCCTCTTATTTGAGTCATGTGCTTTGCTGATAATTTTTTGTAATCCTATGTAAATTAGATCATATAAAATGTTTATAAGATACTGTTTAAGTATTTTAGTTTTATAATTATATTCCATTTCTCCCATAAGCTAAAAAAGGGGGTAGAAGCTTCTCTCCAAAAAAACAACCCTGTTATAGATAAAAATATTTAATTTTTAAATATTCAAAATGCATGTATTGATAGGCAAAGAACTACAACTTAATTGCTATGAACAAATGGTGCTAATTCTTAGAAAGCAGTATGTCCAGGAGACGCTGAAGAGGTTGGTTTCTGCATGTTTTTACTCATGCAGCAATAATTTTTGCCAATGGAGAGGCACAAAGGTCAAGAAGTCAATAGTTACTTTGAATAGTAATACTGTTTTCCTGTCTACTGTAGTTTCTTAAAAATAAGTTTGAATTGAAAGTTTTTCAGTGTTGCTTAATGAGATCGCTCTCACGTATATTGATTCACGAATGCAGGATGAAATGTGTTTCAGAAAAGCAGTCACATTTTGTTATTGTCCACTTCCTGGAGGAAGAAACCTTTCCAAGTGTAATTTTTAACCAAGAAAAGGCTTCCTATGTAATTAAAATTTTACTATTTAGGGAGTTATTTATTATTGCTATATAAATACAGGGTGATGCAAAAGTAGTTTACAGTTGTGAGTATATGAAACACAGTTTTTTATTGTATCAGCCATTCTTAAGTGTTTAGTTTAGTGGCATAAAGTACATTCACACTGTTATATATTCACCAACACCGTCCATTTCAAGACCCTTTTCCTTATCCCAAACTGAAACTCCCTACCCATTAAACATTAACTCCCCTTTCCTGCCCCTGTCTCCTGGTAATCACTATTCCGCTTTCTGTCTCTGAATTTGACTATTCTAGGTACCTCATATAAATAGAATCAAATACTATTTACCCTTTTGCACCTTGTTTTCAAGGTTCATCCATATTATATCATGTATCAAAATATCCCATTTTATGTAAATGCCACATTTTGTTTATTTATTCAGCTATTGATGGTGCCCTAAACTCCTACCTCCTTCTTTGGGAAATAACCCTTAAATTTTTCTTTAAGAAATTTCCTTTTCTCATTGACTTATTATGCTACTTAACAGATTATGTAGCTCATTATAGTTTATAAAACACTAGACAATTTAATTATTTCAACCCACATGAAGTACAGAATCTTAAACCTTATTTGAAACTCTTCAGGCTTCTGAATTCTGAATATGCAAACTATTTTAGCCAGGAAATTTCAGAATAGAAGTGTCAGTGTTTCTTCAGGAAAATAGCATAACATGGCACTTATAAACCACTTAAACATTTGGTAGATTGGCCACTTCCTGGGTATTTGAATTTTCCACTAACCTAGGCTGTAGACATAGTATACACTCAGTCCTTACTATTTGAATGGAAGACAGCCTAACTCTGACTCCAGTTGACCTCAGCAAAAATTTGTCTCTGACACACATCACCATAACCACATTAGGTTACTTAGCCTTTTTGATATTAAATTTTCTTATATATAAAACATGAACAATAATATGTAATGTTTGGCCATCAATGAACTGAAGTTTACCATTTTAAAGTGGCTAGGCACTACTTTAACATCTGATTTTCCTCATTTTAGTGATAAGGATCCTGAAGCTGGGCTGTTGGGGATAAAGAGTGGTTAAAGGACTTGTGACAAATTGTACAGCTGGAAAGTGTGGAGTTAAGATTTGAACTCGGATCTGTCTGACTTCAAAGCCATTCTGAACTCCCCTGTAATATTTTATTCTCATTATCCAACAGTGAATATATTAATTCTTGCTTTAATGTCACATGATTTCCCTCCCCTAATTTTTATGATTTTTGTTGAACACCTTTTGTACCAGTCACTGTCTTTGATCCTTTTTAATTCTCATCTCACCCTATAAGGAAGGTTATGTAATTCACTAAAGTATACAAATGAGTGGTGGTGATGTTTGAACTGCCTCCCATGACCTTTTCCCCCTCGTAAGTTGGAGAACGAGCTAATTAAAATGGTGAAACTAGGAGAAGGCAACTGGAAATCCTAACAACCTTAGGCAGTAGTGCTGCATTTAATATAATTAAATGTGAGCAAGTACTAGGCCAGAGATGCTGTGGTAAGCAATTATTCAGGGTTACAATGCTTTGTTTTAGGTGCTGTTACACTACCAGACTGTCAGTGAGCCTGCTGTTATTAAACGATTGATTAGCGTCTTGAACAAAAGCACGGGTGAGGTCACCAAGAAGAAGCCTAAGTAAGTGTTTTAATGAATAAGTAATAAACACAAGCAATTTAAGCAAATTTCTTATAGTTTAATTATTTTGTGTAATATTTTTAGGGGTGGTAAGTAAACTCTCTTTTTACTTCTTCCAGAAATCATTTTTTAAGATCTAGATTAAAACAAACACAAAAATAAATATTTAAGCTCCTATTTAGGTATGAATGCTAAATATAATTTCTGTTCTGCATGGTGGTAATGGTGGGGTAAATAAAATGATTGTAAATAAAATGGAAATATATGTATCTAGCACTGTAAAAATAAAGGCATTTTAAAAAAACAACAATCCTACATTTTAAAAGATGAACTTGAATTATGCCTAGCCACTGGTTCCAAATTCCAGCTGAGCGTTGTTAACTTCCTTGTCTTCTCCTTACAGAGAGTCATTCCCTATGCTAAGAACACCAGGGAGAAAGCGCACTACACACACTGTAGCTCCCAGTTTTTCCACCTGGAATGTATTTTCCTTCTGCTCAGTGTCCACCTGGAACCTTAGCTGAGCTCATCACATCACGTTGGTCCTCTCTGCTTACTGTTAACATCTAGGCCTAGGTGGGGACCATTCCTCTTTGGCTGGGACCAGACTAGCACTTTCAAAGGAAAGAACTTAAGTTCTTACCCTAAATCAAGGCTAACCACAGTTTGGCTTGGCTGCTTCAGCCTTGGGGTTTTCCTCCCTTCTTCTCTATGGGGAATCCCACCTAAAATCCCCCTTTTTCTGTCCTTGGCTGTTCCTCCTCATCTGCACCTGTGTAAGAGGCCAAAGGTGGTTAGTGAGTTAATAGGTTGGCTGCAAGGGGAAGAGAGAATCTTCACACTGCTCTAAACCGTGCCTGTTCCTCCATTAGTTATAAGTGTGAGTGTCTGCTGTAATCTGCTGAGACATGTGCTAAGGACTAACATTTCTGGAGGACTGTTGTTTCATAGGCTCCATCATGAATGCTTTCACATGTTTATATGCTCAGGAACCATATGAAGTAGGTACTATTATTTCCCCCATTTTTTGGATGAGGAAACTGAAGGTTAGAGAGGTTTTATCACATGTTCAAGATCACAGAACTAGCAAATAGCAGAGCCAGCATTTTAACACGGTTCACATAAGTCACATTCTTTTTGACAGGAGCCAGATTGTTTGACTCAGACAAGTGATACGGAGAATTCTCAATCTGAAATTGTCCCATGAAATCTACTCCTGAATTCCCCACCCTGCTATAAGTCCTAGCTCAGTGATATTAGGTCTTAATATATTCTCATGTTAGCTTTCCCTGTCATCTTATTTATAATTTAGTCCTTTCCTCCTATTTTGCACCAATGCTTTTTCTTCTTTTCCACTAAAGGCACCTTGCTTTATATGGAATGGAATTGAACTTTCTAGAAACAAAGCGCAAATCATAAAGTATTTGATCTTCTCCTTTCTAAGGAATGAGACTTTGGCCTGAAATGGACTAAAAACAATATTTGGAAATTTTGTAATACTAGTAGCTTATTCTGTCAGTCTGTCTCTGAACTAATTTTTCAGAAGATGAGTCTGTGATTATTGTTCTCTGTCTTTTTAGAGCAGATGAAAATTAAATTAGAGAACAATGTCAAAATGTCCCCTGTTGGGTTCTGCTCCTTGTAGTAAATAAGGGTGTTGTGTCGGTGCATTTTTTGGATTTTTGTTGGTTGGCTTATCTGTGTGAACCTGCCCATCCCCCATCCCCTTCATTTCCTACAAATATCATATTGTGGGGAAATCTTATGTGATTATGTCCTGAATCTTTGTTAAAGAACCGATTTCTATGTTCACACTAGGAGATGACTCTCTCTAAAAAGATAACTTCAACACATAATTTATTAATTAGAATTTTACTAGGGAAAACATAGGGCATTGCATTCCTCTTGTAAAGTACAAGTGCCTCCATTTCTTGATTAGATAATTGAAACTGTTTCATTGAGGGAATGACAGGGAAGGCTTTGACAGAGGAGGTTTGAGCATACTTTACGTTATAACATCCTCTCAGGGATAGCTTTACATTTAAAAGATTGGTAAAATAAATATATTAGAGAGAGACAGAAAGATGAACTAGTATTTCTTAAAATATATGTATAGTTTACCCGGCATGGCTCAGTTATTGAGTGTCGACCTATGAACTACCGTGTTTCCCCTAAAACAAGACATTCTCCGAAAATAAGACCTAGTGCATGGAAAGATAAGACATCCCCCGAAAATAAGACCTAGCGCAACTTTGGGAGAAAAAATTAATATAAGACACTGTCTTATTTTGGGGGAAACAGGGTAGGAGGTCATGGTTCAATTCCCTGTCAGGGCACATGCCTGGGTTGCAGGCTTCATCCCCAGTGTGGGACTTACAGAAGGCAGCCCATCAATGATTCTCTCTCATCATTGATGCTACTCTTGCTCTCTCCCTCTCACTTCTCTCTGAAATCAATAAAAATATTATATATATATATATATATATATATGAACTAATCTAGAATTTCTGATTTTTTTCCAACCTAGAAAAGTTCAAAGAACACATTTTCATTTTAAGAAAAATTTATTTTTTTAAGTTTTTGAAAGACTAAGTTGATTTGTTGATTGAGTTTGAAATATTTTTCAGATTGTTTATTACATTTACTTACCTCTATTGAATATTCATTTTTTCCTTTCTTTTCTTGATAGGTTGTTGACTAAAGGTCAGAATGCATTGGTAGAGCTACAGACACAAAGACCAGTGGCTCTTGAGTTATACAAAGACTTTAAGGAACTGGGAAGGTTCATGCTACGCTACAGTGGTTCTACAGTAGCTGCTGGGGTAGTCACTGAGGTATTATAAAGTGACCCATTGTGTGTCCATGGGTTATGACGTCTTTTTCTACTTTTTAAGGTTGACTAATGAGATTTTTATGGCTTAAGGAAAACACAATCATGGTATTATAAAAATGTTTAAATTTATATAAAAAACATTTTAAAAATGGGAAGAAATATTTGGTCTTAGAATTTCCTACAGTGAGACTTCCAAATCATGTTCTCCATCAGTAACATTGCTCAAAATTAAAGGAAATCCATTGAAAAGTCTGTAAGTGTGCAATCCAAATTATGAGAGTACAGACTTTGAAAGTCAAATAAGTTGGGGGCTGTAATTTCATTTAATATTTGTTCTTTATATGACTGGCTTTCAGGACATTTGAAATGATTCATTCAAAAAGTTCAGTTAATATATTAGTAATGTTTCTGAAGCAGACCTGTTATGTAATGTGAGGTGCACCTGAGTTATGGAGAAAATAGCCAGAAATGAACCAAAAAATTTCAGTAATTTAAATTTTCTTCTATACTATCATGATCAAAATAAGTTTGATGAATATTATATTTTAAGGGGGATTTACTCATATAATTATTTTCTGCATGAATTGTATTCAAGTCACTTAATTGTATGTATACTTTGAACAGAGGGCTTTAGGTTGTAGCACAATCCAGTTACATGTGTGTCATATAAAAGACTCTGGAGTTAAACTGCCCAAGTGTATGTTGCTGCTCCGCTGATTCCTAGCAGCATAAGCACAACACTTCTCCCTGGATTGATTCTTCTCTAAAGATGGGTAATGGGCTCTGCCTCCCGGAGCTGTGGTTGTGAAATGAAATGATTAGTGGAAAGACTTGGCACAGTAATTGACACACATAAACCATTCCATAAATGCTTTCTCATATCATTGTCATTAACATCACATCTAATCTGCCAAAGCACTCTTTATAAAAGCACATGCTAAAAATAAGATGCAGTCCCTTGTGGGAAATAATGGAGTGATTATAGTTAATCTCAGAAATATATTACTAGGGAAGGGAACAGTGACAGGAAAAAAGAAAAAAAAATCATCTTGATAAAATGATTTCACTGCCATTTGCCTGTTGTTGGTCTTTTAATGTAATTGATTGAATTTTAGCAAATATGTTTTTCTTCTTTACAGATAAAAGAATGATGGGTCAGAACTTCTCCAGTGTTTCCAAATGCAAGGATATAACTAAGCTACGTTTTTAAAGAATCCAGCTATTCAACTAAAGGAACAATGTGCAATTGGTATTATTTTTAATGAGAGAGAAAATTAAAGCTATAATTAGCAGCAAAGAAGTGATTATCACTCCTGCGAAAATTTCAAGTTGCCAAACCATCTTTCCATTTGAAATGTTAGTAAATGGATTAACTTTGCTAAGATTTATGGAAAGGAAACTATCTGAAATATGTATTAGAAGAATTGAATCATCATGAAATGAACTCAACTTCCAGCCAAACTACGGAATGTTTACAGTTTTCTTTTGGTTTTCAACTCTACTGCATACATTTTGGAAAAATAATTAAATTGGGTGGTTGAGATAGTTAATATTTGACCAGTGCAAATTTTTTTTGTTAACTCTAAGGAAAGATTTATTGAAGGTTATAATCATAAAGGTATTTTGTGTTGAGCAAAAGAATGTTCCTTCTCCAACAAGTAAACTTTTGAAAGATTAGGTTGGAATTAGTGGAAACTCTTCCTTTGTTATCCAAACTATTATTTAAGGTGTAAAGCCAACTAATAAAATATCTTAGTTTGAGCATAATAGCAAGATGTGTTTTGTTTCTTAAATGTATATGAGATTCTTTACTACTGACTTTGGGGTTTAATGGGATCTTTTTTTCTTTTCCTTTTAAAAAAAATGTTTTTATTGATTTTAGAGAGAGAGTGAGCAAGGCAGAGGGGGAGAGAGAGAAAAAATCAATATGAGAGGAGAACATCGATCTGCTCCCTCATGCCAGCGCCCTACCCTGGGTCTAGCCTGTAACCTGGGCATGTGGCCTGACTCGGTATCGAACTAGCAACCCTTCAGTACACAGGACAGTGCTCAACTAACAGCCACAATGACCGGGATTTATGGGGTCTTTTTTACTTATGAGTTTCCCAACTCTTTCTCATGAATTCTTGCTTTTTATCTTACTAGCAGATCAAATTTAGTCTCATCCATTTTTTAACCATAACCATTTTTTTTTCATTCTCATTTTTAAAACTACATACGTGATAATTTTATCTTTATCTAGCATGCCTTATAGACTGCAAGTCTCTATACGCATCATGTTTTTATTTTAAATATATTTTATTGATTTTAGAGAGGAAGGGAGAGGGAGAGAAAGATAGAAACATCAATGATGAGAGAGAATCATTGGTCGGCTGTCTCCTGCACACCCCACACCTGGGATCGAGTCCACAACCCAGGCATGTGCCCTGATCATAAGCCAACAAGAGTCAAGGTTTTCTTAAAGTGTCAACAACAAACTCCAAGGCATATTTACATAACAAGTGTCATTGGGCTGCCTCCTGGGTACAGGTTGCTTTTGGGTAGATTTCATCCACAGCTGAGCCTAGAATTCTGGTTCGATGGACCATATAACTTTTAAAGTTGGGGAACGGTGTGATCAGACTTACCATCATCAATAGCAATTTTTTCTTCTTAATTGAAAAATATCATTTATTATAAAGTGCACATAGCATAAATGTGCTGCTTAGTGAGTGATCACTAGGTGAACACACCCATATAATAAATATATTTCTTTATTAAGAAATATTTGTGTACCTGTTACTTATAGAGTGAACTTGCTAAGGCAAGAAAGTGTTTGTTTATTATACTTAGCAGGAATTTAATAGCTGGACCTCACAGAAACTTAATTTCAAGTGACTTAAGTACCATTAGCCCCGGCTTTGACTCCGTCTTGATGGAGCAGCTCACAATGTCTGCAAGGACTCATCTGTACTCTGCTTTCTCTAGGGTTGGTTTGCACTCAGACTCCAAACAGACCTTCTGGGATTCTACATTTAGATCCTTTGACCCTCATTCAGGGCAAGGGCAGGCTAATATAACATCTTTTTCCAGAAGCTCTAGAAACATGCCATCATTGACTATAACTGAATTTCATTACTTCCTTAGGGCAATCTTGGGATTGGATGTGAAATGAATACCACTCAAAATGCACAGGCTTGCTTGCTGCAGCAACAGAGACCACACACCTTAATGCTTCTTAGTAAGAAGGTGTTGGGGGCGGGGAGAGCTTAAAGAATTTGAGCGTGGTTAGGTAATTTTGAGGAGGGCTCATGTGAGCAAGGGTTTCTTCTTATCAGAAAGTGGGAGGAATTTTGCAGTTGTGTATCAATTTTTATCTAGCACAGAGAAATGGAACAAGGTAAAGCCGCAGTTGCACAGGTTAGCCACTAGAGGGGGTTGCCCAGTCATTTTTGTGGTTTGCACAGTGACTTGTCACTTCAACTTCCTTATCTGACAGGAGATCTGGGAGCTGTTCCATGTTCAGCCGGAAAACAACATGGCCTCGCTACAAGTGCCAGGCCAGCTTTTAGTCCCCAGATGCTCCTTTTTCTCTCTCACACATTGAAACCCCTGAAATGTGTGTAGAAACAACATAATGAAATAAGTCAATGAAATTATACCTCAAATATGGGGACATAAAGTATGGAAGAGTAGGCAATATGTTTAGATTTTCTCTTAAAAGGATAGACTCACACTGCAAAGCGAATGATATGCTATTTACCAAAGATACGCCTAAAATAAAATAAGAGATTGCAAGAAAAAGAGGCACAAATGTATCAGAGAAGTAAAAGTTACTATATGGCAGTGGGTGTCTACCAGGTGCCAGGCAATTTTCACACAGCAGTTCAGTTAATATGACATTTTTATAATTATATGATTAACCTCAATGCTTAAATGAGAAGACTGAAGTTGAATAAAAACAAATAAATCAATTACAGAGCCATGATTTGAATTGGTATTGAAGCCTGACTGATAGGCATGTCATTACACTGCATTGTCTCTAGACACCAGGAATAACAGTACTGGACTAAGAATTTAAAGCAAGCAAGCAAACAAAAAGCCCTGTGATAAAGAGATCCATTTCATATCGATAAGAGGCACAACCATGGGTACAAAAATGAAACTAAAGTACCAAATAGAATCAAAATGCATAATGAAAATTTACTAGAAGTAAAAAAATTAAAAGATATAAATAAAATTATCAAGAGATTCTCAACAGCCCTGTCATCATGGAAACAGAAGGTCACAGAGGACTTGGAACATAGTAAGGTAGAAAGGTTGAGAATATAGTAAAAAAAAATAAAATGCAGATATAAATCAGGTTTCCTTCAAGAATTTGATAATGAGGTAAATACTACTCTTGGAGAGTTATGTTTTCAAGGCAACTCAATAGGCGTTATCTATAATATCAGCTTTAGAATGTTTTAAATAGGTTAGGCTCCCTTTCCTGTATTACTGGAATTATTGATTACATAGTATAAAATAGCTGAAATAATTTAATCTTTAATATTTAAATAAAAGATGGAAATGTGAATAAGCAAGAATAGACTATAAAATGACCAGAGAAGTTTAAAGTCAACCAAATATAACTCTTTAAAATGAAAAATATAATTGAAATGAAAAACTGGTACTAGTATTTAGATAAACAAATTAGGTACCACTAAAAGCATTAGTGACACCAAATATATAACATATATGTACAAATATATATTGTAAGGTACTAACTACACAAATATATATGTACATATGTGTATTATATAATACAAAGTGGAATCAAAATATAATCTTAAATATTATCAACATATATTAAATAAATTAACTTAATATTTAACTAAACAAAACTTAGAAAAGATACAAAGCAACTATCCTGGAGGTTGTGTGTGTGTTCAGAGCTTATTTTTTTCTGTTAGGTTGTTCTTTTCTCTTACCATTTTGTAGAAATGGTTACAGACACCATGGATAAGTGTCCAGGGTACAGAAGCCAGCCAGTGAGCAAAGGAAAAGAGAATCTGTCTTTTTTGGATAGGTATTCTTTTTTATTTGTTTATTATTTATTTTATTTCTCTCTCTCCATTTATCCCCTCTATGCTCCCCTCCCCACAATTACCTCACTGTTGTCCATGAGTCCTTCCCCCCCCCCCTTTTTCTTCTTAGTCCCTCCATGTCTCCTACCCCCTACTGCCCTACCCTCACTCTTATCAGAGATGTCTGCCTGCTCTCAGTCACCTCTGCAGGCTGAGGGCAGAGAAGCAGTGAGGAAACAAGCACATGGTTTAGTGACAAAAAGATTAAAGTTCATTCTTTACCAACTTTGTATTCAGTCTTGGACACATTAACCTCTCTGAGGCTCAGTTTCTTCTACAATGTTGCGGAGGTAATGACATGCACTTTATAGAAGGTTGCTGTGTGGGAAAAATGAGTAAATTCCTGTGAAGGACTTGCTTCAGGGCCCGGCACTCCGTCAGTGTTTGAGCCATGTATATAGCTTATAGCGTGAGTCCAATACCATGATACACACAGACGCCTTTTGAGAATTTTAAAGGACCTTGAACACATAAGCTGATATTAGTTCAACACTGTTAATCGACTTCTCACAATGTACTGGAAGTCTGTGAAGTATTTGATAACTCTCTTCACTCAGTCTGGAGACTGGAATACTGTTTGAGAGTGGCAGGACACCTCCCCTTTCGCTGATTGGCAGAGGGAGACCTGGCTGGACAGGAGGAGGAGATAACTCAGCGGTGGGGAAAAGCGGTGGGGTAACCTGGCTGAACACTCAAGGGGAAAGGCAGGAGTTTCTCACGATGGCTGGAACAAAGACACTTCTGATGCTGGAAAACTACATTGGAGGAAAATTTTTACCTTGTAACTCCTATATAGATTCTTACGATCCATCTACAGGCGACGTGTACTGCAGAGTACCAGACAGTGGAAAAGAAGAGGTGAGTGTGTTCACTCAGGAGTCTGAAATGGTCTGAATAGGTCGGTGAATTATGTGTAAGTTCACTTCTAGAAGAAAAAGTCTGAAATGGTCTTAATATGTCAGTGAATTGTGTATAACTAATTTTCTAGAAGCAACAGGGAGGATGTGGGGGTGGGGAGAAGGTTAAACTTTAGCAGAAGGCAGATT